GCCCTTCGCGCAGCCGAAAGGAGCCCAGGACAGAGAGCGCCTGCAGGCACGCAGCCAGGACTGCCAGCGCTGGCTACAGGCGCGCAGGGGAAATGTAGTTGCAGCGCAGGGTACAAAGAGATGTCGCTGTCTGGAGAACAGCACCTTAGGGCATATTGAACGTCCCCCGACATTCTCTCCTCTTGTCTTCCCCGCTCCCGCTGGCTGCAGGCATGGAGACCCCCAGCGCACAGGAAGCCGCAGGGCAACAAGCCAGCGCACCAGCCAGCGCACCAGCCAGCGCACCGGCGGGACAGGCCACTGGCTCTGCGAACACCAACACCGTGAAGAAGAGGAGCTGCCCAAAGAAGCAGCGGGGCAGACCCTCGTCCCAGCCCCCCAGGAACATCGTGGGCTGCAGGATTTCCCACGGATGGAAGGAAGGCGACGAGCCCGTCACCCAGTGGAAAGGGACCGTTCTGGATCAGGTGCCTATAAACCCCTCTCTCTATCTGGTGAAATATGATGGGATTGACTGTGTCTATGGACTCGAACTTCACCGAGATGAGAGAGTTTTGTCTCTTAAGATTCTCTCGGACAGGGTGGCATCATCTCAGGTCGCTGATGCAAACCTTGCCAACACCATCATTGGCAAGGCTGTGGAGCATATGTTTGAGGGCGAGCATGGTTCTAAGGATGAGTGGAGAGGGATGGTGTTAGCCCAAGCACCAATCATGAAATCGTGGTTTTATATTACCTATGAGAAAGATCCTGTGCTGTACATGTACCAGCTTCTGGATGACTATAAGGAAGGAGACCTTGTTTGGTGGATGGGCATGAAAGGAAGGGACAGCTGTAAATTCAGGCTGTGAATAAAGTTCAGCTAGCATCATAGTCAGTCATCTAAAAATGGAATAGGACTTAGCTGGCCTGGTCTAGGAAGGAGGGAGGAGAAGGAACTAGAGATGGGCTGTGGGGGGAGGGCAAAGGGGAGGTTACTGCTTAGGAAGAAGTGGGGAGGGCCAGAAATGGAGGGGCTTCCTGGGGGGAGGGATGTCTTAGCAGGGGGCGGCACCCAACTGGGAGGAGATGAGAATAACAGAGGGAGAGGGAGCTCTTGGGGCTGAGAGGAAAACAGACTGAATAACTTGAGTAGAGAGGGGCACAAAGAATCTCAGAAGAGGTCCAGAGCAAGGGGAGAAAGACAAAGTTGGCAGGGATTTGGGGAGAGGCTCAAGGATACTTACTCTAAGATAGGACCTATACATGTGAGGACCAAAGGGCCAGGGATACTGAAGAAGGAAGCATTCCAAGAAGAAAGACTGACCAAGAGAGTGAGCCTAGAGAAAAAGCGGTGTGGGGAGTGGGGCCCAGGAGAGATGGGAAGGCCCAGGAAAAACTTGCACTTCTGACATGTCCACATTGCTGTCCCTGGCTCTGGGCACAAAACATGAGGCAACGGAAAGAAACCAGGTGGCTTAGGGGTTCCCTAGAAGGGTATTTTGACAGGGATGACTCAAGGGTTAAGCAGGAGCCAGGTTTATATCTAAAAGTTCTATTTCAGGGACTTCATGCCACAACTGCAAAGCAGAACCCCTGACCCTCAGCCTAAACACACTAGCATTGTGCATTAAGCATGTGGCTGTGGGTGGCCTCATTGCTCAGAGGACCCAGGTGCAACAAATCCTGAAGGTCTTGGTTCCTTACCCTACACTGTCTAAGCAATTCCTGTGGGAATGGGTCGGTGGGGCTCTCAGATCTGAAGAGCTGTGCCCTGTTGCATTTGGAAAGCATTTTATCCACAAAACTGGAACCTTGCAGAACCCAGCAGCATCAGTCCCTTCATTGTTCTTCCTCTGGCTGGACTGAACCTTGCTTCCTTCAGAGGAGGGACATCAGAGGATTGTGCCTACTGTTTCTCTCCAGGGCATGGGCATGACAGTCCATACTTCTCATCGTTGGCTTCAGTCCATGCCTCTCACAGGTGGCTCCAGCCAGTGCCCACCAAACTGAGGTCTGCTGTCCCCAGAAGCCCCATCTGTTGGCTGTATCCCAACAGGTGGGCTGGCTACTGACTTCTCCGGGAACTGCTGGCCAGTTTTGCCGGCCCAGGCACATGGGGAGCAGTGATGGGAGTTAGTGGGGCTGTGTTTCCAGGTGAGCTGGATGGCATGGGAAGCCGGGCTGGGGTCGGTGGCTGGGTGTCACTCACTCCTTCGGCTCTGTGTGGCCACAGAGAGGTGTAGTGCTTGTTGGTGTGAGGCTGCAGTAACCCCAGTAAAGTCCCTCAGAGGTATGGTGTCCTGACAAATGGGCCCTTCTCTTCCTCTCTTCCTTGCCTTTCCCCAGTGCTGCCATGGAAGGTCCCCTTAAAACCTCTCTGGTTTACTCATCCCACAGTTCACCGAAATATACCCCTGCCCCCTAATACCCAGCTTCAACTAACTCCACGGGTAGCCGTGGGAGGGTGAGGGAGGAAACTTCCAAGAATTAAAGAATTTTTAATTCTTCATTCTCCACCCAACATGACATGAAGATGTTCGTTTCCAGAATGACACAAACAATCCCAGCTCATCATAGCAGGGGTTAATTTTCTTTCATATATCACACAATTTAGTCTGACAAACACCTGCAGGATACCCATGAGCTAATTTCAGCCAGCTGTCATGTTTCATTTGATCTTCCTGTTTTTTGTTTTCTCATTAACATAGTTTTCTATGCTTATATAACTACTTGAACATTTGGGAGATTTCTTATTTCTGGCCCACCTGTAAAAAAGGCACAAGTAAACTGGGGATTATGGTCCACATTCCAACAAGATACAGCAGCTGGGTCTGAGGAAGGGCTCAGCCCATTATAGACTCAGATGCTCCCTCAAGGTGGCCAAGCCCGCAGCTGGCCTGCTTCACTCTAATGAATACAATGCCTAGTTGTCCCCTGGAGGCATTCGTGTGTATAGCTTTGAGGCAAGACCCAGGGAAAACTGACTAGCTCCCCTTTTGCCTTAGTTTGACTCCCTTTTTTGTTTGTTTTAGCTTCAGCGCACCAATAGTAACTACAGGTAGCTCTCCGCCAGGCTGACTTCTAGGCACAGGCACTTATGATGAGGTAATGATCAAAAGAAACAAATAAAATAATCCTACCCTCATGGAACTTTTATTTCAGTGTGCCAGACCATAGCCAAGATATATTAAATAGATAGAAATTCTTTTCAAAGTGATAAGTGTTAAGAGGGAAAATAAGGAAAGCAAGGAATGAGGAATGGAAATTCCAGACAGGAGTCTGAAATTGATTAGACAGGAAGGCCAGGGAGAGCCTCACTGAGAACGTGGCTTTTGAGTAAAGACCTAAAGGCAGTGAGAGGACTGGCCCTGTGCATGCCTGGGGAAGGAGGATTCCAGGTACGGGGACAGCAAGTGTGAGCCCCCAGGACACGTGTGTCTGCCATGTTCTAGAGACACTGAGGATACCAGCATGGCTGGAGCTGGGGGAGTGAGGTAGAGAATATCTGGAAGTGAGTTCAGAGAGGTGCTGGGACCTGGGGGAAGCAGAAAGCTTAGAGCCTTGGAAGTGCTGGAATGGAATTGGTTTAACACTGAGTGTGATGAGGAACCATTTGATTGTTTTGAACAGAATTGTGATGTGATTTGTCTCATATTTTAACCGATCACCCTGAAACCTCGGGAGAGTACTTTGTATAGATTGCAAGGATTAAAACAGAGAGTCTGATATATCAGTGAGATAGAGGAGAGATCTAGAAACTGATTTGCATGCATGTAAAGGGAATCATAAGTGACATTTCATATAAATGAGAAGTGTCTTTTTATTCAATAAAGGGTGCTAGATTAATCTGTTTTTCCTAAGCCAAATAGTAAACATAGCTCTTCCTCACACCTTGTACAAAAAATAATTTCCAAGTGGATAAAGGTTAACATTTAAATTTAGAAAGCAAATTTATAAAATTTTTAAATTCAAATGGAAGAGAATGTTTATAGTTTTTCTAATGGGAATGGGGAACATTTTTTAAAGGGACATAATACTGTATAATTTACTTAGTTAATTATGTGTATTGTTTTTATACTTGTCAGAATATAAAGTACATAAGTATGTGATTTCCCTTCTTTTTTTCACTTATGTAATCCCAGATACTTAAAAAAGATCTGGCGCAGATTTGGTGCTCAGTACTATTTCTTGAGTTTATGTGTCTCACCAATAATCAGAAAAATGGCAATTAAAATGACATACAATTTCATATGCATCAGATTAGCAGCACACATGACGTCTGAAAATGTGTTGTCAACTAGGTAAACAAGTGGGAGAATCTATACATTGTCGGTAGGAGTTCAAATGGAGATAAATTTGCCATTATATAGTGAGTTGGAAGATGTTATATTCCAGCAATTTTACTTTTTACATTATTGGAAGACAATTCTGTATGGATCTTTCATGTTTCTATACATTTTGCAAGCAACCACTGAATGTCTTTTGTTTGCTACCTTCCGTTGAAGAATGTTTGGATAACAAACATCTTTGTAAGATGAGATGGTGGCTCCCTTTGTTGCAATGGGCAGGAAATGTTTGTTACAATATAATAAATATAATGTCTGAAGGCATGTTTACTGCCCATTATAAACGATGAGGTTAATTAAACTGAAGTTTCCTTTTCTCTATTGTATGTATGTGTCAGATGCCCATTTTGCATCACCCTATGGTAAGTGGGCCTCAGGGATTTAGGGTTAAATTGCTGCTACTCTGGCTTTCACTGTTGCTGTGAATACTAAAATATTAATGAGGAGGAATTGAGGAAGAGGTTGCAGGATGAGGTCCAGGGAGTGGATTCAAAAACAAATGCTGGAACCACGCATTGTTTGTTGCAAATTCAACTCTTGGTGGGGCCTCAATATGTTTATCAACCTCCGGCTCACTCCATTGTAACAAATAATGCTAAGATTGATCCTGGATAAGTAGAATGTTTTGTCTCTCTCCAGTAACAGTGAGAGACAAACGATGACACTGCAAGTTAAAGCAAGTTAAATCACAAGAACTACAGGCAGAACTTTCGCTAGCTGAAGTTGGATATGTGAGAACTGGGCAAAAAAAATGCTTGTAAAGGGAAGAATGTAAACAGCTTGGCTGTCTTATGACTCAGCCCATCCATCACATGATCATACAAGCTTTAATACTTTCAGAGATGATAGAAAATAACTCAGTTACTTTTTGTTTGGTTGGTTGGTTTTAGTAGTGCTTACTCTCTGCTTAAGGTAATATTGGTCCTCTTGGGGAGATTTTACTAATGAAGTTAACCACCAAAGAATGAGAAACAGAATTAAAGAAATGTAGATAAATTCTTGATGATCGATCTCTCACCCTTGGAAAACTTCCCTAGCTCTTATCTTGAAAACATGGGAGAAAATAAGAGATATTATTTTACTAATGAGGTAGCAGACACCCTGGGTTATTTTGAATTTCTCACATAAGTTTATTGCTGTGTGAGCCAAGTCAGCCAGTGTGTCTTTGAAACCCAGTTTTACTGAAAAATAAAGTGATTGTGCCTGCTGAGTCAAAACATTGTCTAAGGCAAAAATAGATGATGTTAGCCATGAGGGTTTTGCCACCTGATATAGAGCATTGAGTCATCCAAAAACATGGAAAGTGAGATTGCATGAGACACAAGCAGCCACTATTTCACACAGAATTGAAAGTAAATGCAAAGCCTTCCTAAAGGTGCAGAGCTTCTCTCTCCTTCTATGACCCTGAAAACTCTCTCCTCTCTCTCTCTCTCTCTCTCTCTCTCCTCTCTCTCTCTCTCTTCCTTCTTATTTATTATTCTTTATTTCACCCATCCACCTACACCCTCTCCTTTAGCAACTGT